ACTCACCTCAGCCTCCCAAAGGTGCGGGATTACAGGCTGAGCCACCGAGCCTGGCTTGATCTTTTCAAATAACTAGCTTTTGGTTTCATTGATTTTGGTTTTGTTTGTTGTTTTTTTTTGAGTCAGGATTTCACCCTGTCACCCAGCTTTAGGTAGGGTGTCTTTCTTTCATTGACCACACCCAGCTGTAAAATTCCACTGATTGAGATGATCAATTTCATCAATGCCCTAGGCATCCTTGCTCCACAAACTAATCCAATCAAGTTCAGGCTTCCTTTAAGGACTGACTTCTGGGTCCATGAGGTGTTTGTTTCTACCCCAGGATGACTCCTCCCAGAAGTCTTACTCCCTAGTTCTCCCCCTCAGACCCACAGACCTGTATCTTGATTCTACTCCCAATTCTTTTTACTACAACTTCCAGTGTTTTGAGTATTCTTGGGCTTGAGCCTCTCGGGCTCTGTTGCAGGTTAAGTCAGTTGCTTTGGAGGAGATGGGAGGCCTCTGGTCTATGGCTTGCTTCTCCCCTGGGCAGAATCTCTGAGCCAAGCCTTCGGCGCTTCTCCCGGGTAATGTCCCTGCTATTGGAGCCAAGCGCCGTATGGAGAGGGTGTGTAGAGGCATCAGGTCCTCTTGGCTGGCCTTTCCTGGTGCCAGGCTGTGGCCCCACTGGCTGGTGTCAGTGCCGTGGGGCCCCTGTGGGGCTGATGCCAGCATGCCCCCTCAAAGCAGGGCTTCCATTCCAAGCACTGGGCTGGGCAGACTCACCTCTCAGCCACCTCCCCAGGAATGTGCGCTCAATACAGAGAGCCACAGGCCTCTTAATCCTCTTGGGAAGAAGCCCTTGGTGGGAGCTGGGGGCAGTTCCTGATTGCAGGAGTCTAGAATGGCATCTCCACCTCTGAAACTGGAGGGAGGAGGGAGGAAGGCAGCTTAGTGCAAACACCACCAATCCTCAGCTTCCTTACTGTGTTGTTCTGGATTTTCTTGAACTCTTAATCCTCTTGGGAAGAAGCCCTTGGTGGGAGCTGGGGGCAGTTCCTGATTGCAGGAGTCTAGAATGGCATCTCCACCTCTGAAACTGGAGGGAGGAGGGAGGAAGGCAGCTTAGTGCAAACACCACCAATCCTCAGCTTCCTTACTGTGTTGTTCTGGATTTTCTTGAATAGTTGTTTCTTCATTTGCTGTTTGCCCTTAGGACCATTTCCAAAGACTTTAAATGACTGTATTTTGTTCTATTTAAAAATATTCACCAGTTTCCCTGAAGAGCAGATCATCAGGGCTCCCATGCTGTTTTGTTAGAAAGCAACCCCTGGTCAGTTGACTTTTGACAAGAGTGACAATACAATTCAGTGGATAAAAGTATAGCCTTTCACACACATGGGTGGGAGCAACCAGATATCCACATATACAAGAATGAAGTTGGACCCTAACTCATGTCATGTGGGAGAATTATCTTAAAATGAACAAAAAGCCTGAACAATGTAAGTACTAAATCTAAAACTCATGGAAGGTAGCATAGGTCTATATATTTGTGACCTTGGCATTGGCTTCTTAGATATGATGCAAAAACACAAATGATGAAAGAAAAAGCAGGTAAATTGGACATTACCAAACTAAAAACTTTTGTTCTCAAAAGATACCATCAAGAAAATGAAAAGACAACCTCCAGAATGGAAGCAAATATTTTAAAATTCTATATCTGATATGGGAGTTGTATCTACAATATGTAAAGAACTCTTACAAGTTAATGAAAAAAAGAAAAGTAACCAAATTTAAAAGTAGGCAGGCGGGCTCAGTGGCTTAGCCTGTACAGATCCCAGCACTTTGGGAGGTTGAGGCAAATGGATTGCCTGAGCTTGTGGGTTTGAGACCAGCCCGGGCAACTTGGCAAGGTCTTGTCTCTACAGTAAATAAAAATGTAGCCAGGCGTGGCAGTGTGCGCCTGTAGTTCCGGCTACTTCCTTCTGAGGCAGAAGGATCACTGGAGCTCAGCGGGTCGACGCTGGGGTGGCTGTGAGCATGCCACTGCATTCTGTCCTGGGCGACGAAGTGAGACTCCAACTCAAAAAAAAAAAAAGTGGAGAAGGAATGTGAATAGACACTTCTTCCAAGAAGATGTACAAATGGTCAAAAAGCATAGTACCATTAGCTCTCAGAGAGATGCAACTCCAAACCACAGTGCTGTGCAACCCCCTTGGGTCCCCTCCTGCTCTGGGAGCTTTTCTATCCTCTCAGTAAATACTGCTTTCTAAAAAAAACAAATCACAGTGCTACTTCATACTCACCAGAATGGCTGTAATAAAAAAGACATGGTAAACACTGTTGGAGAAGATGTGGAGAAACTGGGGCCCTCGTCACTTCTGGTGGGGATGTAAAATCTTACAGTTAAGCTGAGCTCGGTGGCTCAGGCCTGTAATCCCAGCACTTTGGGAGGTGGAGGCAAGAGGATTGCCTGAGCCCAGGAGTTCAAGACCATCCTGGACAACATGGTGAGACCTCGTCTCTATAATAAATAAAAAAATTAGCCTGGTGTTGTAGCACACGCCTGTAACACCAGCTACTTGGAAGGCTGAGGCGGGAAGATCACCTTAGCCCAGCAGGTCGAGGCTGTGGTAGCTGTGAGTATGCCACTGAACTCCACCCTGGGTGATAGAGTGAGACTCCAACTAAAAAAAAAAAAAAAAATCCTACAATCACATGGGGAAACAGTCTGGCAGTTCCTAAAATGGTTAAACAGAGGTGCCATGTGACCAACAATTCCTTTCCTGGGTATATACCCGAGAGAAATAAAAACATATGTCCCTATCAAACATGAATGTATTTTTTGGCATTATTTACAACAGCCAACATGTGGAAACAACCCACATGTCTACCAGTGGGTGGATGGATCAATAAAATGCCATTTATTCACACAGTGGAATGTTCATGCATAAAAGGGAATGAAGCATTGGTACATGCTGTGGCATAGATGAGCCTTGAGACCATTGTGCTAAGTGAGAGAAGCCAGTGACAAAGGACCTATTGTGTATGCCGTTTGTGTGAAATGTCCTTAGTGGGCAAATGAACAGACAGAGTGGTTGCTAGAGGTTCAGGGTTTGGGAGATTGATTTTTGGAGTGATGAAAATGTTTGCCAGTGGATCGTGCTGATATACAGTTCTGAATACATGAAAAGCCATTGAATTCTTTGCCTTAGGTAAGTTATAGGGTATGTGAGTCATGTCTCAATAAAACTGTTAAAACATTTTTTTAATGTAAAGAAAACATCTTAGTCACCATGGAACTCTTTTATCTTTTCAGCCAAGCATCTTCAAGACCTTCTCAGGGAGAGTGTGAATTTTTCCCCTGCCAGTCTCTCTGGCATTGGCTCCCAGTATCTGAATGCTTTAGTTGACAGTGCAGTGGCTCTTGAAACAAAGGATACATCACTAGCTAGGTAATTCTTGTCATCATTTTAATTTCTGCAGTTGTATATGCTCCAAGGTCTTGACCTAAGGACTTTTTATTTCTTAGTATAATTCTTTATAGAAAGTTAACAGTAAATGCAAAAGCACTGAATTTAGATACTTATCTTTGTTGGTAAGTATAATTAATTCAGGTAAATTTGGTATTGGTTATTGTGTAGTATTTTCTTTTTCCAGGTTTTGTTTGTGAAGGATAGTTCTATGCACATTTGAAAGTGGACGAGGTTTCACTTACAGTGTTCCCTACACAGTGAGGAAAGCAATAGGCTAAATGACCTGCTTGAGCATAGTGAATTTTGATCATGTCCCTACCTTATTTGTAGAATAAGTTAGAAGCTTTCATGCTTTGTAACAAGCACTTCATCTACGTAATGACATGATTCCTCCAACAACCCTAAGAGGAAACAGGGTCAGGAGGGGTGGAAACTAATAAATGAGAGAGCTGGATTCAAACCCAGTCCTACGCCAGAGTCCATGTAAATATGGCTGTTGTCGAGGCTGCAGTGGCTGTGAGCATGCCACTGTACTCCAGCCAGGGCAACAGAGTGAAATTCTGACTCAAAAAAAAAAAAGAAGAATTGACATAGAGATAAAATCATTTTTAGCAGTGAAGAATAATGATAATTATTGTGCTTAATATCCATTTATGTGACCAGATTCTTCTTTCAGTTTCATCCCTGCAGTGAATGATTTGACTTCTGATCTTTTTCGTACTAAATCCAAAAATGAAGAAATCAAGATGGAATTGGTAAAACTTGAAAAAAACCTAACTGCAACTTTCGTATTAGAAAAATGTCTACGAGAGTAAGTAATTGAATTGAAAGTGGTAACAATTTTTTGTTATCAAAGAGTGACAAGACAGTGTCAAATTTAGTTTTGACAGTAGGTATGCTTGAAAAGGCACATTAGGAAGTAGGTCCATAGTACATTTTTTAAGTAGAATGTTGGGAGGGGGTGGGGTGGGTATAGACTTTTCCACCTTTAACTTTATAAAATTTCTTACCTCAAAAAAAAAAAAAAAAAAGAAAGAAAAGGGCTGGGCGCGGTGGCTCACACCTATTATCCCAGCACTTTGGAGGCTGAGGTGAGAGGATTGCCTGAGCCCACAGGTTCAAGACCAGCCCGGTCAATTTGGCAAGACCTCATCTCTACAATAAAAAAATTTTTAAAATTAGCTAGGCATGGTGGTGCATGCCTGTAGTTCCAGCTACTTGGAAGGCTGAAGTGGAAGGATCGTGTGAGCCCAGCAGATCGAAGCTGTGGTGGCTGGGAGTGTGCTGCCGCACTCTAGCTTGGGCACCAGAGTGCGACGCCAACTCCAAAAAAAAAAAAAAAACCAGGCTGGGAGCAGTGGCTCATGCCTATAATCCTAGCACTTAGGGAGGCCTAGGTGAGAGAATTGCCTGAGCTCACGGGTTCAAGACCAGCCTGGGCAACTTGGCGAAATATCATCTCGACAATAAATCAAAAAATTAGCTGGGCATGGTGGCGCACACCTGTGGTTCCAGCTACTTGGAAGGCTGAGGCGGAAAGATCACCTGAGCCCAGCAGATTGAGGCTGCAGTGGCCGTGAGCAACAGAGTAAGACTCCGACTCAAAACAAAACAAAACCAAAGAAATGAATAATACGAATTTTATAACTTTCAAAATGTAGGTGTGTGGTGTTCTCTGTTTTTTGTACTTATAAATCATCATACAACTTAAAGCCACATGACATTTTGTTGCCCTTTCTTACTATAGCGCTTGTATCCCTCTTTTAATGCCATGGGCTTTTTTTAGGTCCTTGTTGCCCCAGAGACTAGGGCCTGTGAATCAGGAGCATATATGTGCACAAGGAATCTGGTATGGTAATTTATTCAACAAATATTGAATACACACATTTAAGGTGCTGTGTCAAACCATATTTAGTAGAGAGACCCTCAGTATTTCCTGTTTCAGGTTGGCTTTAGGGTATATGAAACCATTTTTTCTAACGGCAGATTTAGTTTCTCCTAGAATAATCGGCTTACTTTATCTTAAAATTGTTTTGTATTTCTTGAGAAAAATCCCAGCTGGCAACATGGAGGGGAGGGTGACCTGGAAGGATGCAGGTAACCTGGGCTCTCATGTTCATGGAGAGGACCTAGCAAGTTGGTATCCACTCTTGGCTCATTCATCGCTGAATCCAAAAAGTAGTAATGTTTATTTTTTATAATGGTTTTACTGAGGAGAAGAAGAAAGTATTTTTAATTTTACTTTTTAAAGGGATCTCAAGAAGGCAGAGTTGCATCTGTCTGCAGAAAGGGCCAAAGTTGACAGTCATCTTCAGAACATGGACTTTCTAAAAGTGAAGTCGGAGGAATACCGATTTGGAATCAAAGCTGTGGAGGTTTGTATGAGGGACTGAGCATACGAGGACCAACAATTAAGGTCATGAACTCATCCTAGAAAGAGTACTGTATATCTCATCACTGAATATCACTACAGTCACCTTTGAAGTGCTCCTCTTGGGAAGCTATGCACTGACGCCAGCACCTAGTCCACCCGTCAGAGCAATTTGGAACTCTTTTTCTGGAATGGCCATGGCCATCAGAGCTGTTGTCATATTACCCTTGATGCCTTGAATGTCATCAGCTGTCTTCCTTTCAATATTTCCTTTATCTTCAGGTAAGAAAAAAGTCACTGGGGGCCAGATCAGGTAAGTAGGGAGGGTGTTCCAATACAGTTATTTGTACAGTGCTGCCAGTGTAAGTGCACGATGGCAAGTTTGCCTACTTAATTGTCAGACCTCAACAAATGATGACAGCTCTGATGGCCATTCCAGAAAAAGAGTTCCAAAATTGCTTTGACAGGCAGACTAGGTGCTGGCGTCAGTATATAACTTCCCAAGGGGAGTACTTCAAATGTGACCATAGTAACATTCAGCAGTGAGGTATGAAGCACTTTTTCTAGGCTGGTTCGCAAACCTAATTGTCAGACCTCACATGTGGAATATATTTCATGATGGTCACTTTCAAAAAGCTTCTTTACCTGAACCCCTTTTTGTGTCATGGTAGGAGCAGCTTTCAGCCAGAGGTATGGATGCTACTCTGTCTCATCAGTCCCTAGTCGCACTGTCAGAGGTAAGCTTATTTTAGCCTAATTTCACTTTCTTTAAGTTAGTCCACAATCCACTTTGCCCTTTGTTTCTTCCTAAGGGGCCTTTGTTTACTAGCAACACGATTTCCTTTACCTTCTTACTTTATGTTCACCAGCATTTATGTGTTTGTTGCTTGTTTAGCTGTGTATACCCTCACACTTATTTGGTTTTCTGTGTGTATTACTGTAGGCTTGAAACTCTTTGCTGGAGTCAGTTACATGTCATTGATTATTTAGTAAACAGATATACTGGGGGACTGTGTGCCAACCCCCTAGGGACTCCTCTGCATCTCTTTCAGTGGACTATAGAAATGCTGGTCTCAGACTCTTCAAGTTACCAAATGCAGTTCTGGGTTTTAGTCATATAAGAGTTTTATTTATTTTGATAGGGAGAGAGAGGAATAGGGGTTTTTTGTTTTGTTTTGTTTTGTTTTATTATTCTTACGTTTTTATGCACTTTGATTCTTGGAATGTAAGGTTGACAGTCTGTAGCTCTGTATTTGAGACTCTAGTCATTCCTTTACATTCTGATTCTTCTTGATCACTTTCTTTTCTGTTCCTCTGCAGCATACTTCAGCTCTATTCTTAGTAAATGGGTGTATAACTCTCCGATTATCATTAAGCATCTTCTAAATATAATTTCCATTGGAAGTGAGTTTGTCCATTTATCTTTGAAGCTCTTTATTTGATGCATTAATTAAAATATCCTGGGATGGGTGCAGTGGCTCACGCCTGTAATCCCGGCACTTTGGGAGACTGAGGCAAGAGGTTTGCCTGAACCCAGGGGTTCGAGACTAGCCTGGGCAACTTGGGAAAACCTTGTCTCTACAATAAAAAAAAAATAGCTGGGTGTGTTAGTGTATGCCTGTGGTTTCAACTACTTGGTGGAAGGCTGAGGCAGAAGGGTTGCCTGAGCCCAGCAGGTTGAGGCTATGATGGCTGCGAGTGTACCACTGCACTCCAGCCTGGTGACAGAGTAAGACTCCAACTCAAAAAAAAAAAATCGTGACCAGGTGCTATGGCTCACACTGTAATCCCAGCACTTTGGGAGGCTGAGGTGGGAGGATTGCTTGAGGCCAGCAGTTTGAGACCAGCCTCGGCAACATAGTGAGACCTCATTTCTACAAAAATTAGGTGTGGTGGTGCATGCCTGTATTCCCAGCTGCTTGGGAGGGTGAAGTGGAAGAATCCCCTGAGCCCAGGAGGCTGAGGTTGCAGTGAGCTGGGATCATGCCACTGTGCTCCAGCCTGGGGACAGAGTGAGACCCCACCTAAAATTAAATAAATAAATAATCCTAATGTTAATGCCTACTGTGTTTTATTTCAGAAATGGCCAGTAGTCACATTGTGAATATCTCTATTACTCCGTGACTTTGTATCTTTTCACCCACAGAAACTGGCAGAGATAAAGCGACAGACTCTACCTTTGAAGAAAAAATTGGAGTCCTACTTAGATCTAATGCCGGTAATTATGCTTAATTAAGAAGGACATGGTTTCCTCTAGCCTCCCCAAGGACCCTGCATGGTCATAGCAAGGGTGGTCCATGTTTAAGGGTTGGGAGTCAGTGCTGAGTTTCAATATTCCGTGCACACTGAAGACTCTCTGGGAGGCTTTTGCCTTTTTGAAAATGAAGACAGTATTTTTTCCTCTTGAGTCTGAATTGAGCCAATATCACCTTTCCTTGTTTTGTTTTTCTTTAAAAGAGTCCTTCTCTTGCTCAAGTGAAAATTGAAGAAGCAAAGCGAGAGTTAGTAAGTACCTTTAATTTTTTTCAGAAATAAACTCAGTGCTGATATAACCAAAGCTTCTCATCTTTTCTTTCCTTCCTCAGAGGCCAGCCACCATCCTCAGGTTGCCTATGTTACTCCATGTGTCTTATAATATGTTATTGGCCGTGCTCTTGTGTGTGTATGTGTATATTTTAAATACATAGTAGTGGGCCAGGCATGGTGGCTCATGCCTATAATCCCAGCATTTTGGGAGGCAGAGGTGAGAGGATTGCCTGAGCTCAGGAGTTCAAGACCAGCTTGGCCAACTTGGCAAGACTTCTTTTCTACAATAAATCAAAAAATTAGCCGGGCATGGTAGCACGTGCCTGTAGTCCAAGCTACTTGGGAGACTGAGATGGAAGGATCGCCTGAGTCCAACAGGTCGAGGGTGTGACGGCCGTGAGCATATCACTGCACTCCCGTCTGGGCAACAGTAAGACTCTGAGTCAAGAAAAATAAAAAAGTAAACACATAGTAGGGTTTTATGCCTTTTAAAATTTTACATAGATTTTTCCTAATGGAAAAAAAAGAGTTTGAGAGATATATAATATTCTAAGCAAAAAGAATTAGCAAAGGCACACGAACTGAACAGTTGAGGACTCAGCAGAGGTGCTAGAAGCATGCGGTATGAGGCGGGGCTGGGAAGGGTCAGTGGGTCTGTGGTGTAGAAGGCCATAAGTCTACAGGAAGCCATGGAGGAACAATGGAAGTTGCCGTTGCTTTGTTTTTTAAGTTCAGAGGCGTGTGATCAGAGCTATGCTTTTTGATCAGCCTAGTGCTTAGGAACATGATTCTGTAACCCATGGACAGGTGCATTAGAGGAAGGAGAAAGAAAATTGTAGGAATCAGTTGGCCTATTTAGGCCAGATAAGAAGTAATGGGGACAGTGGCGATGACAGTGGACAAGAGGTGATGTCAGAGGCATTGTGGGACGTCGTTGTGAGTGAGATTGGGTAGATCTGCTCATGAGTCATGACACATTCCTCTCTCTAAGGGGTGGCCCTTCCCTTCAGGTGTTGATTAGAATCCATTAGGAAGCAGAAGACTTTTGGGGAGGTCAAGGGGAAGAGAGGGAGGTGTAAGCCAGGAATTGTCTAAAAGTGTGTTTGATACTTACAGTTGTATTTTATAAATTTTCTGTTTTAATTTTCTTCTTTTTTACTTTTCTTATTCTAGATAACATTAGAAGTTAGAGCATCTGTTTTATGTTCTTATTTATGGCATTTCTTTCTTCCCTCAGGATAGCATTGAAGCTGAACTTACAAAGAAAGTAGACATGATGAAACTGTGACCAGAGCCAAGTAAACACCCTTTTACCTAGCAAAGGACATTGAATAGGACTTTGGAGAATTTCTTTTCCTCTTGGAAATTTCTTAATAATGTTTTACTGGCATTCTCAGATGAGGGAATAATGTCATCATGGATAGAATAATGGCTTCCTGTTGTATATTGTATTTTTGTGTCAAATACATAATTTTCATATTAAAAAGCCCTTTTTCTTACTTGTTGGTTCTCTGTGTGGCTGGTGACTGAAGCCTTTGGGAGCTCTGCCACGTGAACATTACCACAATGTCGTACATGTGACATTAGAGCAGCTAATGGGAAAGTTGTGTGGCCTCAGTTCCATTTGCCACTCTCCTCCTACCCTGGGGCTTGCTGTCATTCTTTCTGATCTGCTCACCTGCCCACCTCCAAATGTTAATGTATGCAGGAATTTAGTTTATGAAAAAAGATGACCTTTTAAATCAATAGCAGAAAGATGGATAATCAGCCCTTGCCACCAGATCCATACTTCACACCTTATTCAGGATAATCCAAAGGATCAAAAATTTCAGTATAAAATTTAAAAATAGGCTGGGTGCAGTGGCTCAAGCCTGTAATCCCAGCACTTTGGGAGGCCAAGATGAGAGAATTGTGAGTCCAGGGGTTTGAGACCAGCCTGGGCATCTTAGTGAGAACTCGTCTCTACAATAAATAAAAAAATAAACTGGGTATGGTGACTTGTGCTGAGGTTCTAGCTACTTGGAAGGCTGAGGCGGAAGGATCAGGTCAAGGCTATGGTGACCATGAGCATGCCACTCCAACTCAAAAAATTTGTAAATAAAGGTACTGGAAGAAATCACAGGGGAGTTTTAATGTTTTGATTTTTTTTTTTTAAGAGACAAGGTCTTACTATATTCCACTGGCTAGCCTTGAGCTCCTAGTCTTAAATAATCCTCCTCTCAACCTCCCAGGTAACTGGAACTACAGGCGCACTCCACTGTGTACAGCCTAATGTTTGCTTTTTAAATAGAGAATTGGAACATGACCAAAACCCAGGAGTCATAAGTGAAGTGATTGAAATATTTCATAAGTAAAATCAAAGGACATGACAGATATGGTACAGGAAAGAAGGAAGAGGGGTTTTTCACTATGCCTTCTTGTCTTTTTCAAATTTTGTACCATGCAAGTAAAAATCAACTTTTAAAGATTGTCTAAATGCCCTTAAAAATTTCCTTCCTTCTCTCCTTGTCCTTATTTTCAAGCAAAAAAAGACATGTGCATTTCATTTTGAAAGTTGTCCATATTCTTCAGTCATTTATATATTTGCTTCTGATCCTTTTCTTAACACTTTACAGAAGCTTCTTCTTATTAGCTAAATGAATATTTTGTAATTTGAGATGCAGTTATTTTCTAGGTTTGTCACTTGACTTGATTGTAGTACTTTTGGTAAGGAAACTTGGCAGATTGATTATGAGACAGTGACTGATTCCTTTCATCTTGTGCACACACCCCTTTGTAATGTGACTTCACTCTTCCCATCAAGGAGCAGAGTGCTTATCTCTACCTTTACCTCTGGTGTGACCCTGTGACTTGTTTTGGCCAATGAGACAAAAGCAAAGAGTAAAAATCACTTGTGCTTTGGAGCTGGCTGGTTCTTACTGCCTTTGGAATTGGAGGCCACCGTGTTAAGCCTGGACAAGCCTTTTAGGAGACAAGAAGCTACTTGGGGCAGACAGGAAGCCTCCGGACCAGACAGACAGTGAGATGCTAGAGGTGTGAAGCAGGCCCTGCTAGCCCTGACTGAGCCACCAGCAGCCAACCCAGGTCAGAACTTGGCTAATTTGGAACATTAATAGTTGCAGAATCTTTTAGACATTTGCACCTGACAAGTGCATGACTGAATAACAGAGAAGGTGTGTATGTGCTATCGAATGTCTGCTGACCCCTGAACTCTCCAGGTCTCCTGAGAATCTGCACCCATCCTAACTGGAAATATGTCAGAAAGGGAGATGCATAGACTGCGGTATATCCACATTGGCACATCACAAAGCCATCCCACACAGATCCCATGTGGACTAAGTGTATGAAAGGCTGTGCGCAGTGGCTCATGCCTGTAACTCCAGCTCTATGGGAGGCCAAGTAAGAGGATCCCTTAAGGCTAGTTCAAGGCCAGCCTGTGCTGTGAACATAATGAGACCCCATCTTTACAAAAAAAAACCCAAAACATTAGGTGTGGTGGCATATTCCTATAGTCTCAGCTTCTCAGGAGGCTGAGGCAGAAGGACCACATGAGCCCAGGAGGTCGAGGCTGCAGTAAGCTATGATCACACCACTACACTCTGGCCTGGGTGACAGTATGCCCATGTCTCTGAAATAAAAGCATGTAAAAAAAAGGCATATGGAGTAGGTTATGTGTATAGAGAAGTCACATGTAAGTACAAAGAGAAAATCTCAAAAGCAGAGGAAAAAAATCAAAGGGTATATGTTTAATTGACAGGATTCTCATCAATGACAATGGAAACAATGCCAAGGGAATGATATCATTAACGTGCTAAAAGAAAAAAATACTGTCGCCCTGGAAATCTGTTTTAAGGAAAGATATTCAAGAATGCGAGTGAAATAATGATGTCAAACAAAAATGGAGACAGATCATTAACAGCAGGCTTGTGTTAATGGAAATTCTAAAAAGATATCAGAAGGAAAATGCTCTCAGAAGATCTGAAGCCCAATAAAGAAAGGCAGGGCAACCCTCAGGTTCCCTCCCACTGTGGGAACTTTTCTGTCTTCTCAATAAATCCTGATTTAAAAAAAAAAAGGCAAAGAACATGGCAAGTGTATGAGTAAATATAAATATTGACCAAAAAAACAGTAACAAAATAATTAGTGAGTTAAGCCAAAAAAAAAAAAAAAATTCACAAAGACATATGTGTCAGATTCAGGAGGTAAGTGGAAATTGTTCTGGAAGGAGAGTAAAAGTATTTATATTTTGATAAGTATATGTTTTCTTTCTTTTATTTCCTTTTTTTTTTTTTAAAGAGACTAGTCTCAATATATTGCCCAGACTGGTCTTGACCTCCTGGGATTCTCACACTGGTTTTGACCTCAAGAGATTCTCCTGCCTCAGCCTGCCAAAGTGTGAGCCACTGTGCCCAGCCAACTTAAGTATGTGGTTTTTGTGTGGTTTTTTTTGAGTTGGAGTCTCACTCTTTCGCTCAGGCTGGAGTGCAATGACATACTCATAACCACTGCGGCCTTGACCTGCTGGGTTCTGGTGATCCTTCTGCCTCAGCCTTCCAAGTAGCTGGAATCACAGGCATGCGCCACCATGCCTTGCTAATTTTTTGATGTAGAGACGAGATCTCGCCAAGTTTCCCTTGTTGGTCTTGAACATGTGGGCTCAGGCAATGCTCTTGTCTCCACCTCCCAAGGTGCTGGGATCACAGGAATGAGCCACCGGGCCTGGCCAGGTATACGATTTTAAACTCATGGAGAGAGGCCAGGTGCAATGATTCATGCCTATAATTCCAGCACTTTAGGAGTCAGAAGTGAGAGGATTGCCTTGAGCTCAGGGGTTCAAGACCAACTTGAGCAACGTGTCGAGAACTTGTCTCCACAATAAATCAAAAAATTAGCTGGGCATGGTGGCGCACACCTGTGGTTCCAGCTCTTTGGAAGACTGAGGCAGAAGGAGCTGGAAGTCGAGGTTGCAGTGGCTGTGAGCAGCATGTCTGTGCACTCCAGCCTTGGTGACAGAGTAAGACTCTGACTTAATAAAAATAAAAATAATAGACTCATGGAGAGAATGAGATGTTAAAAATATTTAGACAAATTCAAAAGAAAAAAGATTTAAAAAGAACCAGCATAATTTTAAAATAACAGTGGTTATATTAGATGTAAGAAAATATTTTAGCTAAAACACAAAGATCGAAAGAATTTTTAAAAGACTTAAAATATTTGACTGGGTGCAGTGGCTCACGCCTGTAATCCCAGCACTTTGGGAGTCTGAGGCAAGAGGATTGTCTGAGCTCAGGGTTTTGAGACCAGCCTGGGCAACTTGGTGAGACCTTTTCTCTACAATATATCAAAAAATTAGCCAGGCGTGGTGGTGTGCGCCTATAGTTCTGGCTACTTGGAAGGCTGAGGCAGAAGGATCGCCCGAGCCCAGCAGGTAGAGGCTGCGGTGGCCATGAGCCTGCTACTGCAATCCAGCCTGGGTGACAGAGTGACTCTGACTCAAAAATAAAAAGTAAATTCAAAAAGGATGGAAGCTAAAAAATTGAAAAAGATTGATCTTGCAAATATCAAAGAAAGGCAGATATGTTAACATGAGACAAAATAGATTTTACAGCAACAATCATGACTAGATAAGAGACCTCTTTATAATGAAAAAGTGTTCAGGTTTTTAGTAAAGCAAAACAATTTATATGTACTTAATAACATCTCCATATATATATAAAGTGGGCCAGGCATGGTGGCTCACACTTGTTATCCCAGCACTTTGGGAGGGGTTGGACAATTGCTTGAGCCCAAGAGTTTGAGACCAGTCTGGGCAACAGAGTGAGACCTTATCTCTAAAAAATAAATAAGCTAGGCATGGTGACATGTGTTTGTAGTCCCAGCTACTCTGGAAGCTGAGGTGGAAGGTTCACCTGAGCCCAGGAGGTACAGACTGGGCAACAGTGAGAACCCGACTCAAAAAAAAAAAAAAAAAGTACTAAATCCAAGGCGGAATAAATGGATCTACAATCATGGTAGAGAGATCACATAGTTCTTTCAGTAAATCATAAAACAGAAAAAGAATTAACTCCAGCCTAGGCCACATAGTGAGACCTTGTCTCTATAAAAAAAAAAAATGTTAGCTGGTTGTGGTAATGCATGCCTGTTGTCCTAGCTACTCAGGAGGCTGAGGTGGAAATATCACCTGAGCCCAGCAGGTTGAGGCTGAGGAGAGTGGGCTGATCCTGCCTCTGCACTCCAACCTGGGCAACAGAGTGAGACACTGACTCAAAAAAAAAAAAAAGCAAGGATTCAGAGATTTAAGCAACCAATTAACACACTTGATCTAATGGTCGTGTAAAGCATTTTATTCCCAACTGTAGCAGGATGCACATTCTTAAATACACCAGAACATTTTGAAACATTGTCCACATAGTGAAGTGTCCTCAACTACTACAAAAAGACTGAAACTATACACAGCATGTTCCCTCACGACAACGCAATTAGAAAAAAAATAACTGAA